AATAAGATTGGTAAATCATTCATTTATTTAGAATAAAAACAATTCAATGGCAACTTTCTTACCAGTAAAAAGAGATCGAACTAACTTTTCGTCAATATTATAAAGATCAAGAGTATATAAATTTGGATAATGAGCAGCACGTAAAATATGTTTCATAGATGATGATTCAAGATCAAAGCCTTCGATTGTATCACGAATTTTAGGTAAAATATGTAAATAAAATCGATCAATAAAATTATCTGATGATCATTTGACAAAAGTTAAATGATCAGTAAAAATTGGATCCTGAATAATTCTATTCAGTAGCTGATTAATACCGTGGAAAGAATAAAGTACTTCAAAATTATTGAGTTCTTTGAAAATAATCATAAGAATTTCATCAGGTAAATCATTTAATCCAATACATGAATATTTCATGTTTAGGGTGTGGGTGTGGGTGTGGGTGTGGGTCTGGGACTGAGACTGGTATCATGGAACAGTACGCCCACACCCAGACCCCACTCCACACCCACACTCCCACACCCACCCACATTCACACCCACACCCACACCCACACTCACACCCCCACCCCCACCCACACACCCACACCCACACCACCCACACCCACACCCACACCCACACCATACCCAAGCCCACACACCCACACCCACCTTCCGTATCTCCATTATACGTCACGATAGAAGGCTAAAAATTTTATCACGTGCGTCCTATCACAGGCCCAACATATGCTCCAAATATCAACCCGTTTGGATATTCCTGGGCTAAGATCGATTTGGGGGGGGGGGGGGGCTTAAGTCATTTGTGATGAAAACTTAAGTAATTTTTTTAAAGAAATACTAGCATTTAAGTGTGTTTTCGTCATGTGACAACAGTAGGAAAGCGTCTACTTAAGTCATGTGTTTTTAGTTTAGTTATCTCTATGCAGAGTTATTGAGGTTTACACAAGATGAATAATGCATTGAAAAAAGTATAGGGCATAACAAATCTTGGTCTTGTGGGGCATCTAATCCAGTTAACAAAGGCATAAGTTATATAAAGATTTTAATGTTCATGACTAACGCCCACACTCTCTCACACTCTCACCCAGGCTTACACCAAACTTACACCCAAACGCAAACGTTTTGGGAGTTTGGGTTTGTATTTGGGTTCTGGTATGGTTTTAAGTCTGACGACGTAACTAGACATGCACTGGCCCTAGACAGTTTTCGTTTTGGTGTTGTGAGTATTGAGTTTGAGTTTAGGTTTAGGTTTGGATTTGAGTATCAGCTTGAGTTTGAGTTTAAATTTCAGCAACAGTCGTATAGCAAAAACTTAAATACATAGGCCATAATCAAATCTAAACCCAAACTCATACCTTAACTCTACCCAGACCCAAATTCACCAAACCTAAATCGTTTGGCTTGGTGCATGCCTATCCACACCCTTAAATCAAAGAAAAGAAAAGAAAAGAAAAGAATATCACATAACATAACATAACATAAATATAGAAAGCGGCATCGGATATTAGTTTTGAATTTTTAATACGTGTCCGAATTAGTAATGATACCAAAGGAAGTTAAGACGATCGACTTCTACCAAAGGCCATAACAACTGGTATCATGGCAATAGGTTCGCCACCAAAAGTTGTAGTTAAGCTCGCCAATGCACCACTGACAACAGGGGCTAAATATGTAACTCCAGCGCACATAGCTACAGCAGCTGCACCAATAAAGAAAATGCCGACAGCATATTTCAAATATTGAGCATTGCCTCGTGCCGCTATTCGTACTGCAGCATTTTCATTTGGCTCCAGATCTTCGATATGGACTAGTAGCTGACTGCTAATCGTTGATGCTTCCGATACTTGTTGATAGGCCGTTCGTGGATCATTTGAGATATTCTCTGTAATTTGAAGCTGCTGTTCAAGCAATGTGTTTGTTGTTGGATCGTCTCTTGTTCTTGTATTGTCTATTACAGCTTGTCTTAGTACACGAGTATTTTGCTGAAGTTCTGCCGTAGTTCTTGAGTATATATTTAAAAGATTGTTTACTAGTCTTCCTCCTTCGACGTTGATTACTTCAGTAGCCTCTTGTGATAGATTTTCGTTTGTAAGAGATCGATATATTCTACCTACACTTCTTAAAGAATCTACAGAATTAATAACAGTCTCGCAGTCAGCTCTTGAATGATTATCAATTCTTTCTAGTAAAGAATCATTATGAGCCAATGTTTGTAAATTTGGCTGTAACTCCTCATAATCAGTCATCACTGCTTGAACTGAACTTAATTCCCGAGTCGGCAAGTTACTGTTCAGCAGTGCTCGTGCCAAACTGTCAACCTGTCCATCGTCGTTCTCTTGTATAACACTATAGCTGCTATGAGGTGCATCTAAATAAGCCATAATTGTTTGATGAATTTATTTGTCGGATATTAAAAACTAAATATCTGAAACATGTATATAATTATATATATATATATAAATATATGGTAACTTAAGCAACATGAGAAAAGGAAAGTTGGTAAAACCAACAGAGCAGGTTGTCTTTTATAACAAATATTTACAGGTATTCTCTCAACTTGGTATTTTTCAACTTATTCTATCTTTACACTGTCGACATCATCACCTGTTACTTCGCATTTCATACTTTATTTTTATTTATAATTTGACAGGGCACCTCTAAATAACGAAATAATGAAAAAATTTATATTTCATCAACGTAAAGATAAATACGACAGTACAACGGGAGTGAAGAAATGTTGGAAATTTCCAACAAGAAACTGCTTAAATCAATGGCAATTCTTTTGAAGCTTATTAAGAGCGTCGTCCAGCACCTCCCTTCAAAAATCAGTCTCAGCTTATAAACATTCAAATACTATGAATTTTTGAGAATATGTCGGGAATGTAAAAAGACATCCATGGAAAATTTTTCAGTTTCCAATCCTGGTGGATACAGTGGACATGAACCAAACAAGGGTCGGAAAATAGCTTACCACATCTCAAAAATTCTGTGAGTATTTATTAAATATATTTGGTAGTTTTCTGTTTGAAAGAGCGTGCCTGAATGCGGTGTCTATGAGGATCCTTGTTTCTTAGTCTTATATTTTTGAAGGCAAAAAGGCCTGACACGTTCAATGACTGAAAAGCTTCTCAAAAAAGAAGTGGCACTTATATTATGAAATCGCTTAGCAATATAATAATAAAAAAGTTTTCTTTTTAAATGGCTCTCATAGGCACTGCAGTTTTCTATGCTCTTTCAAAAAACAAGAAACGTTTTACCTGATGTCGTGTTACAGTTGACTTTTGCTAGAGATGCATCGTTCAACCACCATTTTGAAAAAAAAAGGAAAAGTATTTTTGAATTTAAAAAAATGCTCATTTTTCGAATAGGAGTTGGCCTAAACAATGACAATATTTCGAAGAAAAATTTTTATTCTGTTTGAAAGAGTAAATGTCAGGCTATCTCTCCTGTATGTGTGAGTCTCTCAGAGTATGATATAGCTTCAAATCTTTAATTCAACAAGTTAACGCGACGCAAACGTCGCCAAACCTCTACTGAAAGGTTGCAGCGTTCCAGAATTCAAAGAACTTGAGTAGAGGTGACACTTTAACTTTATTTTACTTTAATAAAGTAAAGTAAACTAAAGTATTTGAATTTCCTTTACTGAGTAAGGTTAGCCTACTTTACTTTACTCGATAAAGTAAAGTAGCTCTACTTTACCCGAAAAGTAAAGTAAAGTATCTCTTACTTTATCGAAAGACAGACAGTGAAAACCTATCATTGGTCCAAATCCCAATTATCAGAATCTCATTGGCGCACAGCCAGAATGTGAAAACCTATGACTGATGGAAATCCCAACTCACGGAATCTCATTGGCGCATAGATAGGCCATGTACACCTATGATTGGTCGAAATGGCCACTCTCATAATGTCATTGGTGCATAGCCAGATCTTGAAAACATATGATTGGTTGAAATGGCCACTCTCGAAATCTCATTGGCGCATTGACAGACGGTGAAAACCTATCATTGGTCCAAATCCCAACTCTCGGAATTTCATTGGGGCATAGTCAAAACGTGAAAATCTATAACTGGTCAAAATTCCAACTCACGGGATCTCATTGACGTATAGCCGGACCTTGAAAACCTATCATTGGTCCAAATCCCATTTCTCGAAATGTCATAGTCGCATAGTTAGACAGTGAAAACCTACGATTGGCTGAAAATCTGTCACCTGAAACCTGATTGACTGGGATGTAGACGAAGCAGACATCCAATTGGTCGGGGAGGGGGGAGGTAGGAACTGTATACTAACCTAATGGTTGGGGTTGAGATTTGTTATAAGATCGACGATCTTTTAGGTCAAAAAAGCATTTTTTCGTTCTGTGCGAACGAACGTAGTTACGAACGGACGAACTTACGAACATACGAACCTTGCTCGGTGTGTGACCCTCCTTTCAGTAGAGGGAATATTATACGAGAGTGATATTTCATTTTATTGGGATCTTAATCTGTGTATCACTGAGAATACTCGCAATAATAACATTATAATGCAATACTTGATTTTTCCCTTTCGTTCCCTTTCGATGAACAAACAGAAAATAAATATACATGGTTCGACCGGAAACCGAACCCAAGATACGACAACTACTTAATCGGACCAGTGCTCTAAGCATTGAACTATCGCAGCACCACGAAAACAAAATTGTATTTCTGAATGATATTTAATCATCGAAAGCATTCAACGTCGATACGATGTATACGAGGTACATGGATATAGCAAAGCGAGAAAGTTTCAACTCGTCACGTGACGAGTTGAACAAACATAAAAAATCAGACCTTTCGTAACACCAAAAATAGGGATATCCAAAAATACAGGGATGTCGTAACAAAATTTACAGGGCGATCGTAACGATTAACACAGGAAATTCGTAACAGTTGCAGGGCCTTCGCAACGAAGCAACAGGGCTTTCGTAATGAGGATAAGGGTGATAGCTGGACTTAGTTTCCAGAAATTACATGCTTTTCGTTACGAAAGCCCTGTAATGGTACATATCAAAACATGCATTACGATCGCCCTGTAAAATTTGTTACGAAACCCCTGATTTTTTGTTACGAAAGCCCTGATTCTGTCGTTGCGAAAGCTCTGTTACGGGCTTTCGTATTGTCAATTCGTTACGAAAGCCAGAAAACAAAAATCGTGACGAGTTGAAATTTTCCCAGCAAAGCTATATCTAACCATGTAGAGATGATGGTAAATATTCTTCTCTTACAGAGAGTCGATGATTAAATATCATTCAGAAATAAAATTTTATGTTTGTGGTGCTTCGATAGCTGAATGCCTAGAGCACTGATCCAGTTAAGTATTTATCGTATTTTGGATTCGACTACCGATTAAAGGGTCATATGAAGTGAACCAAACTTTTGTGAACCAAAGTGCGCTACTATCAACGCGAAAGGTTTTAAAACATGTCGACAGTAGCGCACTTTGGTTCACAAAAGTTTGGCTCACTTCCCATGACCCGATTGAAGCGTATATATTTATTTTCTATTTGTTGATCGAAAGTGAAAGAAAGTGAAAAATCAAGTATTGTATAATAAACTTGATGCATATAATGTGCATGATAATCATGAACATTTCAATTTCTTCATATAAAACGTGTTTGTAATCAAGATAATATGTTCGTATTGTTAGAAGAGGAGGTTTAGAACATTCGAAGTCGAGCAGAATCGAAAACAAAAAGTGAGATAAAACAAACTAGCGGTTTTACATATGCAAGAAACAAGTTTTACTAAATGAAAGTTGATATACGTTCTCTTTACATTTATTTGGTTTTTCTTTGACTGGCCTGGATACTGTAACCACATGCATTGTCATCTGAAGCTGTGGGTGTGGCTGAGTCTTGTTGTGGGTGGGTATCAGTCAAAGTATAATCAACACCCACAGCCAAGCAATGATATTGGACAACTTCTGGGCAACTAAACTATAGAAAGTAATTAAATAACACTGCGCTCGATACAAGGACTTTCCGAGACATTAAAAATCAAAGAAAAAAAAATTGTTTGAGTGGAAATATTTCTCTAGATATGACAAAAGAAATAACGAGTGAAAACTTGTCGATTGAACATTTCTTCTCTGGAAAAGTATAAGTCTGATGAAAGATATAGTATTGCTATCATTTTAAGGTCTTTCTAAGACAGTGAAAAATTCAAATTCAAATAAAGGATGTCAGGTGGGAGATGCTTTTGCAAGATTTTTCAAAACTGCGCAATGGGATATCTACTGAAAGACAGGAGAAATGAATAATGGAAATGGAGTAAAACAGTTCTTATTAGAAGTCATTTCCGGGATACTGAAAATAGCGAAAAAGACGGTAGAAATGCAAGAAATAAATAAATACAACAGAAAAGAATCTAAAAGAACAATTCGATTGTTTTCTAGAAAATGACAATTCAAGTCTCGGATCATTAGATGAACCGAGAAAATTAGCTGAAGGAATTCAATGAAGTTTTTGTATGTAGTAATCTACAAATATGGGCTTCCAATACTAAAACAAAAGTGGTAGAGTTCGTTTTGTAAAGTCGTAATAAAAAATATGCGAGTGAATTGTAGATAATTATGGGAACATCTAGAAGACTAATATTAGGTGGGTGTAGATGTCTAATGTCTTAATGTCTCCTCTCAAGTCCCAGCTACGCCCATAATCACCCGATTGGTTCACTCAAAGAAGTGTTTTTTTTTCGCATTGCGTATAATTTTAAAATGTATCTACTGAGTTGTCATAGGACATTGCTTAGAAGCAAAATAAATATGTGGTTTTACGAATTTCTTTCCGACAAGACTGATTGCTTCTACTAATATGGAGCAAAAATTCACTTAGAAATAAAAGTATAAGCATTTGTGCTAGTGACTAGTTTTCAGATGTGGCTTGATTCGTAAATTATTAAAACAAGTGAGTGTGTACCACAAACTTGATAATGACGATGTACTTTCTGATATAAGCTGGAAGTCTGAAATAGAAATATCAAATATGAAGATTTGTATAAACGCTTTTATATTCAGGGTGTCCCAAAATGCGGGCGTGAAATAAAATTGATATAACTCTTCAGCTATTCAATCGATTCGTATGAACTTTGCATCATTTTATAGCACATTCTCTGAAGTTTAATTTCACATATTTTCATTCACATCTATTGTTCAAAATGGTCACCACCAACTGAAACATGTAAATCTACCCTTTTCTAAACATTTATAAAAGTAGTGCATCAACCTTCCTCTGATATCATCTTAATATCATTATCGGTTTTTTACATACATATTTCTAAAGACTTTAGTATCAATTTGAGTGCAGAACACATGGTTGGCATGTAAATAAAAACTCGATGATGATATCAAGATAATA